ATTAATGAAGTCTATTTCTGTTTGTTTTTTTGTTCAAAGCTGAAACTATTAATTTCTCCCTTGAATGTGAAGGCTTCCTGGATCTCTATCTTCAATCTTTCAGTCTATCTCCTTCTCTTCCTCGTCCACCTAACCCCCAACACTTAAATAATACTTAGTTAAGTGACATTAAGATGGTTCATGTCATTTTAAATACGTGAATTCTTTAAATTAAAGCATGTCATTGAGTGGCATTTAGCAATTTTAACAATGTCCAGCATCAAACATTTTAGGAGAGGAAAGAACAGTAACACATCCAGTGGAAACTGATGGCATTTCAGGAAGCAGAAGGTAATTATTAAAATTAGAATGTTTTAAGTTTCAATAATATTTGGTGTTGACCAGCCTTGGTGCCCTGGAGCCTGAAAAAAAGAACACTCAAGTGGTTCGTGAAAGCTGGCTTGGAGAGATGGATCAAGGCAGTAACAACCAGTTTGGTTCTTTACCACACTGAGGTAGGGTTATGATTGGGAAGGATAACACTGGAGTCAATTGTAGGATAAAGAAGAGAAACATATTAGCACCCTGACAGAGACTTGTCTTTATATCTACTTCTCCTGTCAGTGTCAGATGCACAATATGATATTTCTAAAGGTAAAGGAGATACTATAAAATCCATTGGTTGCTATATAGTTGAGGCTGCCAAATAGCTTATAAGTAATTAGGTGGGATGTTTATTTTAGTGGTTAGCAAGATAACAGACCTGACCACAGAAATAAAATAGCTTCACCTTTAATAAAATACTGTGTCCTCTCAGAAAAATGACATTCCTTTCTCTTATAGTAGTTTCTTAAGTATTTCAGTTAAGCCTCTAATGGCTATATTTATTGTTACGATAAAAATTTCAGTACCATCAGAGCTGCATGTTAGAAACTTTATACCTCTGTTGTAATTTATTATTTAATAGTTTTTAAACTGTCACTTATTCAAACTCTTTACTATGAAGTAACACACTATTCCTTTTTGCCTAAACATAATTTGAACTGAAATTTGTGAGTGGGTATTTATTCCATTATGGAACAAGGAAATATCTGAAAAGTAGGTACCCCTTTAGAAATTTTGGCTAATTCAAAGGGGGCAAAAGTCTGTGACTGTAAGATACCAGAATTTCTTGATATAAGAGGTTCATATTAAAGCCATTCTCTTTAAATCACCACTTTATTTCTAATCTGGAAAAATTATAACTGGTAGTTTTTTAAGCTAATATACATATTGAATTTTTTATTTATATGCATTTGCAGAAATGTTCCCTAAATTTACTGGAGTAAAACAGAATGATTCTCCTTCTAAAGAAAATGTAAAGGTAAATTAATTCTCTATTTGTACCTTCAAATTTAAAAAATATGGATGTTATAACTCATCAATTAGAAGTGGCTTTCCTTGAACTTGTTTTTTATTTTGTTTAAATGAAAAAGTTATTTATTTATTTTTTTTTTAGAGACAGAGTCTTACTTTGTCACCCTTGGTAGAGCTATGGTGTGTCAGAACTCATAGCAACATCCAGCTCTTGGGCTTAGGTGAATCTCTTGCCTCAGCCTCCCGAGTAGCTGGGACTACAGGCGCCTGCCACAACGCCCGGCTATTTTTTTGTTGTACTTTGGCCAGGGCTGTGTTTGAACCTACCACCCTCGGTATATGGGGCCAGCGCCCTACTCACTGAACCACAGGCGCTGCCCATATCTTTTTTTTTTTAATAGCTTATTGACTAAATGTTCAAGGATTTCTTCCTAAAGAGGATAGAACAGAAAAACTACATATTTGGTTTTATTTATTTATTTATTTTGAGACAGAGTCTCAAGCTGTTACCCTGGGTAGAGTGCTATGGTGTCACAGCTCACAGCAACCACAAACTCTTGGGCTTAAGTAATTCTCCTGCCTCAGCCTCCCAAGTAGCTGGGACTACAGGCACCCACCACACACCTGGATATTTTTTGGTTGTAGTTGTTATTGTTGTTTGGTAGGCCCAGGCTGGATTCAAACCCACCAGCTCTGGTGTATGTGGCTGTTGCCCTAGCCACTGAGCTACAGGCACCAAGCCATGCCTGGCTATTTGTTGTTGTTGTTGTTATCATTGTTGTTTTAGCTGGCTGGGGCCAGGTTCAAACCTGCCAGCCTGGGTTTAGGTGGCTGGCGCCCTACCCACTGAGCAAAGGGCACTGCCCTATTTGGTTTCATTTTTCTAATTAAATAAGTCAAATAGGGCTGGGCACAGTGGCTCACACCTGTAATCCCAGCACTCTGTGAGGCCAAGGCAGGTAGATTGCCTGAGCTCACAGGTTCGAGACCACCCTGAGCAAGATTGAGACTCTGTCTCTAAAAATAGTGAGGCATTGTGGTGGGTGCCTATAGTCCAAGCTACTTGGGAGGTGGAGGCAAAAGAATTGCTTGAGTCCCAGAGTTTGAGGTTGCTCTGAGCTATGATGCCATAGCACTCAACGCCAGGGTGACAAAGTGAGACTCTGTCTCAAAAAAAAAAAAGGAAAAATCAAATAGATACAAATTCTAGAAACTTCAGCTTATCACTGACAATCTGAATACAGAATCTTGATATCCTGAGAGTATACACAGAACTGTTTGTACAGAAAAGGGAAATTTATCAAAAAAAAGTAGTAGGAGAATGGTAACCTAGGATTTCTATAGATAAAGGTTATAATTGCCAGCTATCAATTTTAGCAATTTCAAATTTGGCTAGTAGTTGACATGCTTTGAAAAAGGATTGAAGTAATTTTATTTTTTTTTTCCTAATTCAGGCTGTCATCCTCATCTAAAATTTATTCCTTTGTACCCATTCCAAATAAGGAAATACATTCGTGTGACTTGCACAGAAAAATAAAATAATAAACAAGCCAGGCACAGTGGCTCATGCCTGTAATCCTAGCACTCTGGCTGGCTGAGGCAGGAAGATTGTTTAAGGTCAGGAGTTTAAGACCAGCCTGAGCAAATCGAGACCCTATCTTTGCTAAAAATAGAAAAATTAGCTTGGTGTGGTGGCCGGCGCTTGTAGTCCCAGCTACTCAGGCGGCTAAAGCAGTAATATGGCTTGAACCCAGGAGTTTGAAGTTGCCAGGAGCTAGGCTGAGGCCATGGCACTCTATCCCTGGTGACAGAGTGGGCTCTGTTTCAAAAACAGAAAACAAACAAAACTATGGAAATATATTAAATTATTAAACACTACAGTAGGGAAATATAGCAAATAATACTATCTTCAAAGAGCTCTAAATTTTATTTTCCTAATTCAGGCTATCATCATCACATAAAATTAGGATATAATCACATGGTTAAGAAATAATATGTTTAAGATTATACCAATCTGTATGAATGTATTTTTTTAGAAAAAGGAAGAAGGAGAGACAAGGTTCACAGATGAGATAATGTTTAAAATGAGTTTATTTATTTACTTGTTTGTTTGACAAGGTCTTTATTGCCTGGGCTAGAATACAATGGTATCATGATAACTCACTGCAACCTCAAACTCCTTGGTTCAAACCATCCTCCTGCCTCAGCCTCCCAAGTAGCTGGAACTATAGGCACACATCAGCACACCCAGCTAAATTTTACATTTTTTTATAGAGATGGGGTCTAGCTGTGTTGCCCAGGCTGGTTTTGAACTCCTGGCCTCAAGCGATCTTTACATCTTGGCCTCCCAAAGTGCTAGGATTATAGGCACGAATTTCTTACTACCTCTGGCCATAAAATGAGTTTTAAATAACAGGGGAAGAGGCTCGGCACCTGTAGCTCAAAAGGTTAGGGCTCCGGCCACATACACCAGAGCTGGCAGGTTCAAATACAGCCTGGGCCGCCAAACAACGACGACAACAACAACGACAACTACAACTGAAAAATAGCTGGACATTGTGGAGGGCACCTGTAATCCCAGCTACTTGGGCGGCTGAGGCAAGAAAATCGCTTAAGCCCAAAAGTTGGAGGTTGCTGTGAACTGTGAGGCCTCTATTGAGGGCTACAGCTTGAGACTCTGTCTCAAAAAAAAAGAACAGGGAAAGAAATGGTTAGTATAGAGATTAGGGCAGTGGTTCTCAACCTTCCTAATGCCGCGACCCTTTAATATACGTTCCTTATGTTGTGGTGACCTCCAACCATAAAATTATTTTTGTTGCTACATCATAACTGTAATTTTGCTACTGTTATGAATCATAATGTAAATATCTGATATGCAGGATGGTCTTAGGCAACCCCTGTGAAAGGGTCGTTCGAACCCCAAAGTGTCGCGACCCACAGTTTCAGAACTGCTGGTTTAGAGGGTTATTTTTTCAAATAGGTAATAGCATGAAGAGAGGCAGAAAAAGTACAGAAGTTATATTCAGAGGTCTGTGGAAGCTGAGAATGTTTATAGGGATTAGATGATTTGAGGTATATATTAATAACAGAGACAGCAGTGGACACCTCAGTGAAGTGTTACTATTTAATTTGGTAGGCAGAAGTGAGCTCTCAAACTTTTTCCTGTTCCTTCTAAATAGGAAGAAAGGTCTGTCTTGCCAAAGGTATATGGGGAATCAAATTATGTAAAGTTATGAAAGAACTTTGGAAGCATTCTCCATATTTGGCATGTAGAATGCCACCTTTGTGGTCTGTCTGTGGCCAAAATTTTTCACTCACTAAGGAATAAAATGCCCATTTATAATAAAAGTTGGTACATATTAATCTAAAGTTAATGCATAATGAATGCATATATTTCTGTAGTTCAGAAAGCGATTTTATTTGCTGGTTGAAACCTAAGCATTTGACTTTAAGCTTTGAGCTTGGGTCTATATTATTATTATTATAAACATTCCTATAATATTTGTTGTATTCAGAATTTATTCAGAACTTATTGATAGTCTTGTGGATCACCTCCATGTAATATTAAATTTCTCCCCTTATGTCTATAATTCATTGAAGAAAAAGGAGGCAAAGAAGTGATTGGTCCCTAAGTGTGTGTGGGCAGGTGTGTGTATTTTTTTCCACATCAGACAGGTAATGTGCCAATGTCATAACAAGGTTTGAGGAGGCACATCTCACATGGCCATGTGAAAACGCAATCATCATGCTTGCAAACTATGAAAGTATCTCTAGATTTGATATGAAAGCTTAGTTTTTATTTTTAGCAACCCCAGAAAGCTTTTAAAAATGGGTAGCACTGTTTAATAACATATATGTAATCTATAAATCTATGTGAATCTATCACTTGTATTGATAACTAACTCTACTTCTTATCATACACTACATGCCGACTAAACTATTTAATCTTCTTAAACCTCAGTTTCCTGAATAATTATACCTCGTGGGTGTTTATGACATTAATAAAATAGTATTCAAAGGTAGTATTTAAGTACATTCTTGCCTCTTGTGTTTGTTTTCTTAGTTATACTTCTTGTGTCGTTAAAACTCTGAATGAAAACTTTATTTGACTTTGTCTTAGCAGGTGCAGTATTCTGTGCAAGACACAATCTCAGCTAAAACTACCGCACACTCCTGTGTAATACTACCAAATCACCCCCAGTCGGCGTTTAATTATCAAGAATTAGAACATGTACAGACTGTGAAAAATGCTTCGCCTTTACAAATTCTGCCTCTCTCCAGTAAGAAATTACTAAGTAAACAACTTTATAAACTTCTAAACCTCTATGTCTAAGAAAATTCTGTAGTTATCTTAAATATTAAATACTTGGGAAATATCAAACATATATAGTAACTAGTAAATTCCATGTTAGAAATAGTCACTGAAACATATTATTAGAAATTATCTGCTTTATACTCCTTACATTTGAAAGAAAGAAAATTATGTATGTAATTTATTTCTACATAAATTGTATATTTTGGCACATGAGCTATATATATTAAAAACCAGGAAAATCTGTTACTTGTCAGAGTGCCTACTCCTAAAATCTGAGAAAACTTGGGAAACTCTGCTCTAACTACCATTACATCTATGTGGGTTAGAAAGGTAGGATGGAATAAGGAAAAGATATTTAGGGATTGTATAGGTGAAGAAATGAAGTTATATATGTCAGAAATAGTTTATCATTAAGGAAACTTCAGCTAAAAATACTTCCCTAGTGGTGTTTCCTATTTACCAAAAACATCTCCTCAAACTGGTTGAACTTTAATATTTTGGGGTTCATTTGACTTTATAGATATTTTGTCTGTTTGCCCTGTCAGAAGTGATGGTATTACCTGTCTCAATTTGGTTTTCCTAGTAGTGGGGGCATACATGGCACAAATGATACTTCTGTGATGCTGATGAGCTAGGGAGAGACTAAGCCTTGAGACAGTGTATTTAGGACTCGCTTAGAGGCAGGTGACTATTCCTTGTCCATATCTCCTTCCCTGGTTTCTCTTAGCCTCTCAAGGGCAGAGTTATCTTCTCAGCAAAGAAATTTCTAACCTGTTTTACTGCAACACAGATTAGGAGGAACAGAGAGGCGTTTTGGTGCTCCTTTGTTGCTTCCAGCATAAAATCTCCCTACCATTCTCTGTTTGGGTATTCCATTTTGTCTTTAACTCAAGTTGTATCTCTTCATTGTGGGGAAGGGAATGGAGATTGAGAGACACAATGTCTTCAGTCCACACTGGAGGGTGTTTCAGGAAGAGAATAAAATGTCCACAGTATGGGCCACAGGAGAATGAACCACTGAAGTTGACACCTAGAGGATCGTAACAACCTGGTCAACATACAGAGCTGGTCAACAGAAGGAGCTAGGCCTGCTGTACTGATACGTGTCCAATCTATGAACATTATGGCAGCTTGAGGTGGTCATTGCAGGGAGGTGGAGGTTCTACTGTATTTATATCCATCCTTTTCTAGATATAGATTTTCACAGTCCTTTGAGAATAGCTGAAGATATGGTAGATAAGAGGTGATGAATTACCTTGAATGCTAGTGCCATATTTGGACCTTTTATTATATATACAACAAGGAGCTTCATAAGGTGCATAGAAAAATCAGATTTTAATATTAGAAAAAGAATGCTACTTATTACATAGAGGATGGGTTAAGGGATACCCTACTATAGTTAGGACCAAGGAAGGGAGTGCTACAGCCTAGAAAAGAAACTATCATGACCCAAACTAATGCAGTAAGTATAGAAAGGATGCAGATACATTAGGTATTATGTACAAACTTGGGGGTTACCTAAAATACTTGGATTGAAAATAGGAAGCATGGCTTATTTTGGACAGATTAAAGGCACTAAAAAAAGTCTAACTAGAAATATAAAACTAGACATATGTCTTTGGAACTAACAGACTATAACGGGAATTGTGATTTAGCAATTATCAGTATGTAGAAGCTACTGAAGACATGAGATGAATAAATGACAGCCATGAAAATGTGCAGAGCAGGAAGAGGACATCTTAGGTGCAAAACTCCAGGAAACAAAACCTCTTCAATAAAAGTAGAAGAAATCAGCAAGTTAAAAGAAGAGGTAAAGAAAGATAGGAGGAAAAGAGAAAATGGCATAACGGAAGCCCAGGAAGATATGCTTTTAAAAAGGAAATCATTCAGAGTATCACATACTACAGAGCTTTCAACTAAGATGAGAAATGAAGAGAGGGGATTAGCTGGCAAAGTCAGAAGTTCAGCTTTTGCAAACCTATTTTTTTGGAAATATTATGATTGAGGCCGAGGCCAAATTGTTTTAAGTTGGTAAGTAATGGAACCTAAGTGTAGTCAATGTAAATCATTTACGAAATTTGTTGGAGCAAGATAGCTATGGCTCTAAGAGGAAGCTAGGGTCTTTTTTCCCTTTTTTTTTTTTTTTTTTTGGTGGCACCAGAGAGGTTGTTGAGTTTTTGAGTTGGAGAGATTTGAACATGTTTGAAGATTATTTAGAAAAGGCCAAAGTAAGGAAAAGTTGCTGTTTTCACTAGAGAATGTTTGTAGAAGAATGGTAGGGATAGCTTTGCCCTTGAAAAGGAATAATGACAATGAAAAATAATGGTAAGAATGCAGGGAAGGTGTTCTTTTATTCCTATTTTAAGAAAACATCTTCTCTATGAAAGTCAGGATTTTTTTTTTTTTCTGAGACAGAGTTTCACTGTCACCCTCAGTAGAGTGCCGTACTGTCACAGCTCACAGCAACCTCAAACTCTTGGGTTCAAGTGATTCTCTTGCCTCCGCCTCCCAAGTAACCGGGACTACAGGCACCTACCACAACACCCAGCTATTTTTTAGAGAAGGGATCTTGCTCTTGTTCAAGCTGGTCTCAGGCAATCTACCCACCTCGGCCTCCCAGAATGCTGGGATTTCAGGTATGAACCATTTCGCACAGCTCAAAAGTCGGGATTTACGCACAGCTCAAAAGTCAGGATTTAATACCTTGATCTTCACTGAGGACTAGTTAGGTAACATTTCTTCAGATTCTGTTTATATGATGCTGTAAGCATCCTAGTGTATACAGAGAAGATTTAGATGCTAGAGCGCTATTCTACTGGAGTTAGCAAGTTTTTCAGAACCAGAGTACTTTGCACTTGCCAACTGTAGGTGGCACTATGCCCAAGGGAAATTGTAAATATATTAAGCCATAAAATGCATAAAATTGTTTTCTTTTCTGAAGTTTAATCTCAGTGGAAATAACTTTTTGGTTAATCCTCACTTTACATTTATTTCTTTATTTTTTACTTATTTACTTATTTTTTGAGACAGTCTCACTCTTGTCGCCCTGGGTAGAGTGCCATGGTATCATATTTCATGCCAACCTTAGTCTTTTGGTCTCAAGCAATCCTCTTCCCTCAGCCTCCCAAGTGGCAGGACTACAGTGGCCTGCCATGACACCCAGCTATTTTTACTTTTTTTTTTTTTAGACAGATCCTCAAGCTATTGCCCTGGGTAGAGTGCTATGGCATCACAGCTCATAGCAACCTCCAGTTCCTGGGCTTAAGCGATTGATTCTCTTGCATCAGCCTCCTGAGGACTATAGATGCCCACCACAACGCCTGGCTATTTTTTGGTTGTAGTTGTCATTGTTTGGCAGGCCCGGGCCGGATTCAAAACTGCCAGCTCTGGTGTATGTGGCTGGCGCCTTAGCCGCTTGAGCTACAGGCGTCACCTTACATTTTTTTTTTAGTAGAGATGGGGTCTTGCTCTTGCTCAAGCTGGTCTTGAACTCCTGAGCTCAAGTAGTCCACTTGCCTTGGTCTCCCAGACTGCTAGGATTACAGGCATGAGCCACCACACCTGGCCCTTACCTTAAACTTAAATGATGAAAGTGGGCAGCGCCTGTGGCTCAAGGAGGAGGGCACTGGCCCCATATGCTGGAAGTGGTGGGTTCTAACCCAGCCTCAACCAAAAACTGCAAAAAAAAAAAAAAAAAGTGATTAAAGTGATAAATTTTTATGTTGAAGTTCTCTTCTTTTTGGAAAAATAGACAAAACATTAGAGTATACAAATGCCTTATGTAATTGAAATTTGTGTTAGTGGTTTTCATCATCCCCCCAATAATGTCCACATGAAATAGAAGATATTTAATTTTTTAGCTTGTAAGTTGAAGATTTAAGTCAAAAAAGATTACTAACCATAGCCTTATAACTTACCCTTTCTCATAAAAATCACTGAATTATATTGTGTTTTTCTTACAAAAACCCAAAATATTTATGCTGTTACCTCAACATGAATTCACAATGGAAAATAAAAAAGTAAATCAAGTAATTTTCTCTCTCAGGAGAAATAAAGAAAGAGTACCTAAAGTAAAAAATATTCCCTAAAGTCTAAAAGAAGCAGAAGTTTTATTTAAGGAGAGGAGTAAGGCAGAAAGACTTGATCTCTTTGGCGTGTTTTACAGAATAAGTATCATTTGAACTGAGTATGCATGTTTTACAGAATAAGTATCATTTGAACTGAGTATCAGAGAAAAAAAATAAGACTTCTGTATGTATTTCTAGGATTGAAAGGCCTTTAGATGGAGGAAACCACATGAATGTGAAGGTATTTAGGCAACTAATAATTCAATGTGATTAAAGCTTGGCTTGATAAACAGAAACCATTTAGAAAGGTAGACCAGGTCTGATCATGTAAACCTTGAAATTTAGACACTTTGGACTTAATGATAACTGTATAGTCAGTGGGGAGC